TTACCTTCATAATGTGTGAAATAGGACGGCTAGATGGCGTTTCACCTTCATAATGTGTGAAATAGGATGGCTAGATGGCGTTTCACCTTCATAATGTGTGAAATAGGATGGCTAGATGGCGTTTTACCTTCATAATGTATGAAACAGGATGGCTAGATGGCATTTTACCTTCATTCTGTTGTGGAAGAGCTTCCCCACCGACCTAAAGCAGCCATTATTCTTCTGTTGCCTGTGTAGCCACAGCTTAGCATCGCCGATGTGTCTCGGGTCCACAAAGATGTACGGACTTGCCCCTCCGAAGGACTTTAGTACAAATGCGGTGAGCCTGGGTGATGCACTTTGTTTACTCAGAATCACAGAAGATCCATTTCCTTATGGATGTGGATGTCAAATCATTATCTACCTAGTTTATTTCTATAGTATATTTTTAAACAACCAAAAGTGCATTATGCAGGATCAGTAATTACAGTAATTACCACATGACCTCTGGAAAAAGTTAAGAGACCACAGCACAATATTTTGTTTCACTTATTTCTCAATATATGGGTGTGCGTCCATGAATAATATATATATTTTTGAGACAATACTTATTTTTGCATCCTGGTTCTTCTCTGTTTCTCATTAATGAAGGGCTTCTTCCTTGCTTTATGGAACTTCAGTCCTGCTTCTCGGAGCCTGATATGATCCTGTCCTAGCAGTGCACTTCACACCTGCACTTAATGTTTCCTGTTACTTTTGAAGGTCACTTGATGTCATCCTCTGATTCATGAGAAACTGTCAGAAGTTAATGGTGATTTTGGCATTAAAAAGTTGCTTCTGCCCTATACTTGGCTGGTTTTTGGTTGTTCCCAGTATCTTCTATTTCACCTTGTTCTTCTGTCTTAGAAATTTTGAACCAGGAAGCAACCTGTCATGTAGCCCTCTGCCAGCAGAACCAGGATTGAAAAATGCTGAATTGGTCTTTTAATTTTTTCCAGAGCTGTATATAAAGAGTCAGACACTGTACAGATTAACCATAATCCACTGGGCCAAGAGGAATTTGATTCACTTTAAAGAATAATTGATAGTTGGTTGAATGTTGCTCATCGTCATGTCTGGCCAAGCAGAAAGTAGTCAAATTAAAAATGAAAGTGACCATTTAAACCAAATTTCTTTTACAGGGCAGAACATATTCCTAATAATATCAATTCTGCAAGAATTGGCTCTTGGCAAGAATTACTGGAACTTAATGCTATTATATTTCTGTAATACTGGCATTGTTTTTGTTCGAAGCTTTCGGTAGCGAGACTCACCAGGTGTTGCCAGACTGGTCATTCATTCCAAATGCACTGTAAGATCCATCATCGTGTTTGTAATTTAGCTCCCTCTGGTAGCCTGCAGAACAGAAAAGGTAAACTGGGACCATCTAGCGAGGCTCCAGGCACTACTTACAGTACTGTGCAGTAATGCAATATTGATTAGCCAGTTGTGGTGCTAGTGGTCAAGTCAAGAGACACACTGGTGTACTGGATGGTCACTGCAAATACTGTTGTAAATTGAAATGGGTAAGCTGAAATGCTTTCCCATACATCATTTTATCGTTTTACACCAAAATGAAGATCAATTATACGTAATTTCCTTTGATTGCCTGAGACTGTTGCACAGTACAATACCACGCTGTGCCACAAACTGCAGGTTCAATCAGTT